TGGCTACAGTGTAGCTTACCACCATCAGCGTGTGAATGTGAGTATGAATGGGTGAATGTCTGTTAGTGTAAAGCGCTTTGGGGGTCCGGAGGGACTTGAAAAGCGCTCTATAAGTTCAGTACCATTTACCATACTCCTCAGCTGCCTCCAGAGTCCTACCAGCCAACAAGGCCAGATAGGACTCCTTCTTCAGCTTGACAGCCTCCCTAACCCAGGGTGTCCACCACCGAGTTCAAGGGTGGCCACTGACGACCTTGCAGCGACAGCTCAAGGCAGCTGCTTCAACAATTGAGTCACGAAGCATGGCCCACTCTGACTCAATGTCCCCCGCCTCGACTTGGATGTGGTTGAAGTTCTCCCGGAGGTGTGAGTTGAAGATCTGTCTGATGGGTTCCTCTGCCTGGCATTCCCAGTAAACTCTCACTACATGCTTGGGTTTACTGGGTCTGTCCGGCATTTTCCCTCATTCATGTTTTTAACTCTTAATTGGTCAGAAACAATGTTTGGTTTTATGTTTATGGGGCTTTATGAACCCTACAACTCTACAAACTCCAGGAACAACGAAGAAACCTGTTGTGCTCTGTTTCATTTCATTCTGTTTTCTAAAGTTCTGCCACGGAAAAGGGTCCAGAAAAAATGATTAAGTAAAAAGATTATTAGTCATACATGAGTGTAAATGTCAACATTTGAGAACCTCAGAGCTCAGATGATAGTGGACATGACACAGATCCACTCCAGCTTCAGATCAGCTGGTTCCACACCTCTAACAACACTGCAGCTCGGCTCTGACAGCAGCACCACATACAACACAGGACAATAGCATATTATTATTACATCCCACGGCTGCAGTTGGTGGGTTTGGTGGAGCTGCTGGAGTGGACATGTGACTTGTGGGCTCAACAGACTCGCATTATGCTGCAGGAGGAAAGTCAGCTCAGTGCTGTGGTCTCATCTGAGCCATGTGGACCACACCAGTTCACATTCCAAGTTTTTAAATCTACAGGAGCTCCTAACTGAGCTGCAACCCCAAAAACATGAATAAAAACAGAATACAAGGATTTACACATCTTTTCAACCCAGATTTAGCTGAACACACTACAAAGACCAGATATTTCATGTTCAAACAGATAAACTTTATTGTTTCTGTTTCTCATTAACCTGTTCACCTGTGGAAGGATCCTAACAGGTGTTTTCTGAGCATTCCTCAGTCTTTTGTTGTCACAAATATATGATCAAACTATTTAATGGCACATTTGACCTGACCACTGAAAACATGAATGAAGTAAGAAATATGAAAATTATAAAATACATAAAAAGATGTTGTTTACTGTATGTAGATGTAGTACAGTCCTGATGTAAAGTTTCTTTAAATAAATTTGCTCTTGAAGAGTTATTTTCTGAAGTGGTATATGCTTAGAAAAGTTGAATAATCACAACATGTTGTATATGTTTATATTTATATTTCTTTATCCTTCAGTTTTCTGAGGCACCAGCAGCTGAGAAGTTGTAAAGAAATAAATCTTTTTTAATCCATCACGTTGCATGGAAACTATAGAATTATAGAAACCACAATAAATGGTATTGAAGTGGACGCAATAAGAAAAACTATGTGATGACATCATAATCAACCGTATTGCGCCACTAAGCCCCGCCCCCGGTGGAGCTGTCCCGTATTTTGGAGTGGCTGAGTAAACAACCCTACAGCCCGCGTGTTTGAGACCTGACGTGTTTTTGTCGCCCTACATGGTGCACTACGCTTCATCCTGGAGAAGCCAGGAGTTCCTTTCAGCAGCTATTCTCCATCAGCAGCCTAGCGTTAGTACTGTTAGCAACAACATTGTGTACAAGCTGTGTACTTGTACACAGCTCACATATACTGTGGCTCATGTTAATGTCACTTTTCTTTTTAACTTCATATAAAGTCCTTCCTAACTGTGTCCAGCCTGAAGCTGAWAACAGGCTATGAATCAGGCAGTAACTTTAGCTGTGTGTTTCTGCTGCAGCTCATTACAGAGGAGCTGATGCTTACAGYCTGGAGCTTTTACTGATATCAGTGAGAGTAAATATCCCTCAGGGTAAAAAAAACAGCTCACCTGTATGAGCTCTTGACTCGTGACTGTTTCCTGAAAGAAGCCTTTGTTCAGGACTGTGATGGACTGACAGTAGGAACTTTATCATGAGTTTAAAACACAAACAAGTCTTTCCTCAGGCACATCCAGGTTACACTTCAGTGGTGGTCACTAGTTTTAACCCAGGTAAAAGTGGTTTAAAACAGCTGGTTAGGCTATAGATCCACATTCAGACTTTCTGAATTGTGCTTTTCTATTGAAGGAATTTGACTGATTTCTACATATTTTGTGTGTACAGCACAATAACCAGTGGTCATAACTCATGTCTACAGATACTGAGCTAAAAGCTGCTGCAGCAGGAGCTGAGAGTCATTCTTAACCCACCCTCTGAGAGCTGACTGATTGAACAAGATCTGCTCCTTAAACTTGCCTAATAGCTTAAATAAAATGTTAAAAATGTCACAAACATGTTTTCATTATCGAGCTCTCTGAGTGTGAAATCCTAGTTTAAAATTTTCCACTAACATTTTATTATTTAGCTCACTGTTCTTAACTAATTTTTACTAAATATTAAATGTTATAAATCCTAAATCCCAAATCCAAGTGTGTAAATCTAAATATAAAAGTTATATCTTAAATGTTGCGGTTTAATGAAGTTCACTTATAGTCTTTCTGAATGGAACGCAGCCTTTGCTCTTGACGGTTTGCTCTTGTTATGACATCATCCTGAGACAAAAGCAACACCTAACACTGCTAATGCTAACGCTGCAGTTGTCTGAGCTGCACTTCAAACTGACGGACCACAGGGACCACCCATTGATCACATTTTGAATTCAGATTTTAAATACCATCTTTAGCATTAGCAGCATTAGGATCCATTGGCTAGCTGACATCTGTCACATCATCCTGGTTAGCTAATGCTAATTGTTGTTACTAATGCTACTAACGCTGTTGAAGATGATATTTAAACTCCAACTTATTTCTGTAATTAACCCAATTCAAAATGGCGGCCATCGACAGGAAACAAGATGATAAAGATAATAAATACATAAAGAGTACATTTATAATATTAAATAATATTATTTCTATTTTCAGCAAATGTCAAAGAAAAGTTAAGCAATACCAGAGCTAATTTGTTTACTAAACAACTAGAACACTGTGTGTATTTTTCTATTTTTGCTTTAATAA